CATAAAAATTGCTGTGGTTGTGGGTGCCATGGCAACACATTAAATGACATTATACAGCGTTCAGAACCTTCCCATGTCCTTATGTTGTTGGGTTGTTTTTTTTTTTAGCCCCTACAGACGTATGGCCACACCGTTCATATGGGCATGGAGGCTCGCAGTGGCAACAAGTTGGTCCTCTGGAGCCATCGCCTGCACCGCACTGATCGCTTTTGTCACCTTTTCAAAACTGAGATTATTCCTAGCAGGATAATCCTATGTTACGCACGCATTACAGCACTTGGAATGCTGCTAGCCAGGCTGCATACAGCAATAGGCATTTCATGGAGGCTTGGGTTGTATTATTGACTTGCTAAAAGCATTTAGCCCACTAGGGTCTGTGTGTGTTTAAGAGGGCGAGTTGCGCTATAAATAAATGCAAGACACAAAAGGATAGAGGCTCTAACTGATTTAGTAGAATGTAGCTGTGATAAAATCTATGGCAGATTTGAGCCCCATTGTTTGTCTAGAATTCCTTGCAAATATATTTACTGTCTTTGTTAGACATGATGATGATGGTAAAAATTGAAAGGTCTGCATGCACAGGCAGCACATTGGTCCTTACTGCTTGCATTCAAGATATTTATTTCTCCGGTGGATTGTTTCAGAAGCGCAGGATCTCCATGGTGATGGCAGCCCACAGATCAGAAGGAGAAATGGGAGAGAAGGAGGCGGCTGAGAGAGAAAGCCATGATTCCAGCTTATCTGCCACTGTTCCACACTTGTTGACACATATACTGATATGAATTCACTAGGCGGTTAATACACTCTCTCTCCCTGTTTCTGTGCTTCTACCTCTCAGTTCTGGTTGCTCGTCATTCTGCCTTCACTCCCACCACTACTCCTTCTGCTCCTCCTCAGTCTATCAGGTGGCTTATGCTTCAAACTGGGTCACCTTTGTAATAGTCCTCATCCTATGCTTTGAATGCAGAAAATGGCAAGGCTACTTCTTCTTATAATTAAAAGAACAAGAAGACATAAGAAGCTAAAGGCTAAACTGTATCAGATTTTTTAGTGCCATCCATAACCCTACACCTACCCTCATCTCCCTGAAACTAAATCCGAAGTAGTGCTCAAATCCTCCTTTAAGAAGGTTGATATGTCAGCAGTGAGTACAAACCTTGTAATTTAGCATACCACGCCAACAGTTTTTGAGCCAGCTATAGTAATCAGTTAACAATGTAAGAATTGTTGCAATATTTTCATGCACAATGAAATAGAACCATTTAAACATGACTAAAGTTATTGGCATATTGAAAATAGTTCCAAGCTAAAATAAATCTGTACAAAACTGCATCTAATTACCAGATAAAATTGGGCATAAGGCACAGAAATAAAATATATCACCCTCACCAGAGATGCTGATTATTTATAACCAAAATCCATTCTTCTGTCTTGGTGCAGGAAGTCTTAATATATCCACTTAGTATCAGCCATTGAGGCCAGAAAAACTATGAACAAAACCAAATCTAAAATGCAGATTGTCACTAACTTAACTTGGCTGTAAATGTGTTGCTCTAACTGCTAGTTTTAAAAGCTCTGCTTTTACAGACAGGGCTCAGAAAATGCTGATATAAGGGTTGGCCTGCTAGCTGATCCAGTGGGGCAAATCTGAAACCTGATTGAAGAAAACTTTCCTCACTAACATTGTAAAGGTAACATTGATTCTGAAGGCCCAAGGCAGCTTTGATTGATATAGCAACACAATAAGGCTGAAATCTGATCGGACAAAAAAAGAATAGAGACCACATAGATGTAATGGAAGCAGTGCAGCCAAGAAAAATGCTAAAACATTAAGAGGATTGATTGTTTGGAATAAAATAATAAAGTTGGAAAGAAGAAAATTAAAGTCTAGGTTGTTAATGTAGGTTAGTGTTTCTGATTGATTTTAGGCCAGCAGTGAAGGCCTTGAAGGCCCTGACTCCCCACCACTGCTGTAACAATCACATTATTTTAACTGAGAAATGTGTTCAAACAGTTCAAGAGAAATAGACGTAGCCTTAGACAAACTTTATTGTCATTTTGTTCACACAGGGTGTATACAAAACTAAATTTCCTTCAGTACAGCTCTCAAGACATTTCCATTTTCTTAAAGTGCAGCAGTGATAAAATGTAAACATGGGGATTCAAATGTAAACATGAGGGGCCCCACTAACATGGTTGCTGGGATCCACTGAGTCTTCTCATCTGGGCTTCAGCACCTTGTATAGCTTTTGGGGAAACTGCCTCAGTAGTATTGATTTACTGACATGGATGAAGAGGAGACCAATATCAATAGGCAAACCTCACCTCAACATGGGCCACTGAGGTACTATCCTGATGTTTTTTTGGGGGGGGGAGGGGAAGACCTGCTGGTCGAGGTGGCCTTGGCTGGTGGCCTCCTCCTCCTCCAGCCCCCTCCACCTCCTGAGGAAGCCGAGGTCCTTTGGAGTGAGCAGACCTCTGCTTAAAACCTTCTATGACTCTGTGTTGGCATCAGCTCTCCTCTATGCTATTGTCTGCTGGGCCCCTGGCAGCGCAGAGCGGGACATAAAGAGACTGAACAAACTGGTGAGAAAGACCGTTTTTGTCCTAGGCTGTGCTCTGGACTCAGTGGAGGAAGTGGCTGGGAGGAGAATGCTGTCCAAGCCTACATCCATCATGGACAACACCTTCCACCCCCTGCTCCAGACTGTAGAGGAGCTTAGCAGCTCATTTAGTAAAAGGCTCTTGCACCTTGTTTGTAAAAAAGAACGCTACCATAGGTCATTCATCCCTGCTGCAACCAGACTTTACAATGCAACACTACAACAGCAAAAATGTGTCCAATGTATAATCTGCAATGACTATGTTACCTTGTGTTATAGACTTAGACTTAGACAGTACTTTATTGATCCCTTGGGAAGACTCCCTCCGGAAATTAAGGTTACCAGCAGCTTACAGGGCAAAAAAGTATTAAGTTAAATGAAGTTAAAATTAAGCAACAAACAAGTATTAAGTTAAATTAGATAAAAATTAAGCAAAAACCTGTAACTCTATATTTGACACCCAGTGCAATAACTATATATATGAATATAAATATCCATCTCTATAAATATCCATGTAAACACCCTGTGCAATAACCCTGTATAATGATCCTACCATAAAAAAATAAAATAAAAGGACACACTTTATATACTGTATATATTCCATGCACCTTTTTCTTCTTTTGGTACATTCTTCTTCTTTGACTGTTTGAGCTGATGTACTGAGTATATTTCTCCACTGTGAGATCAATAAAGTTAATCAATCAATCACTGGTTCTTGGGTCCTTAGAAGAGTTTGAATCTGCTTTTGCAAAGGTTGGTTTTCTTATCTCAAAAATGTTACAGAAGGGAGACTACTCTGCACTCTGACCTATCCACTACAAGTTTAAAGCAAAGAGAAATACTCTATTCAAACTAGTACTTGGGTTTGAAACCACACTTTCGGCTTTAGATGTAACCCAGCCCAATCTGAAGACCTCCTCCAATTCTTTTTGCCAACAAACAAGAAGCAGAATTTTTGCTGTGCCACCCTACATAACCTTTCCCCTTGAGTATTCTCAAATCATTTTATAAAAATTGCATGCCTAGTATGATGCTGGAAATAAATGCTTATTGCTGAGTATTCATAGCTCTGAGTCATACTCTGACACTTCAGAGAATTTTCTCTGGTTCAGTTTCTTATGTTGGAGGTTTTGTCTGATGTGAGTTACTATAGAACTGATTGAAAAACTAAATGAAAAGCAACACACATTTTAAGGCAAATATGGATTACTCAAGATAAAAATAAGTATAAACATTTTAATGTCTATTTGCTTTGGTTTCAGTAATACAGAAAACAAAACAAATTGAAATATTGTACTCATTACAAGTAAGAGCAGTTTTTTTTATTAATGGAGGGAGAAAAAGATCAAACCTACATGGCCCTGTGTGAAAAAGTGACATCCCCCTTTAAAAAACAAATGATCTGCTGTTTAATACCTCTGCCAAAGAGGTCATGTTTTTAGGAGAGCTAGTGTTTTTGCCTGTCTACAGGATAACTTGAAAATTTCTTGATCAATTTGAATGAAAATTTTATCAGAGGTGCGCCTCATGCCAAGGAACAGTCCATTTAAATTTAGTTATGATCCAGATCATGTGCGAGTTTTAGTTATATGTAGGTGTATTTCACAATTTGGGTCAACACAGGTCTGTGCTCTCAGAGTGCTTTTCTATTTGTGTTTACTTTCTCTTGCCATACCTCTGACTAAATACTGCCCTTATTTTTTATTAATTCAAGAAATCAAACTTAAATAGGACCTGCCTGACCAAGTGAAGCACACCAAAAGGTCAATAAAAGATAGACATTGCACCAAAGAAATTCAACAAATGAGAAAGAAACAGATTAACATTTATAATGCATGAAAGGGTTTTAAGGGGAAATGTAAGAGACTCCAAATAAACACTGTGAGAGAAATTATCCACAAATGGCCAAATCATGGAACAGTTGTTAGCCGTCCAACACATGGCTGGCTGACAGAAATTACCCCAAAATTGCAGCAACAACTCATCCAAGAAACTCCTTGAAATTTATCTCTTAACCCAGACAACCTCTGCCACAATATTAAACTCAGTGTTTGTCCAAACAGCCTAAAACCAATAATTTGAGTCAAGCAGGTTCTTTTATGCACAGGTGAAGAATACACAGTACTCAGATTTGTGAGGGTGTCCCACAGTTACCAAGTTCCTACTGGCACTGAGGGTTGTTGAATTGGACTTTTGTTTAGGGCTTCGATTCTACAGGTACTAGAATGATCAAATCAGATTTCATCTGGTAGTTCAGGCACTATGAGAGAAACAAGTCAGACTTTTTTGTCTCTTTTTCTAACCTTTTCAGGTCACTGATATTCTATGTCTATTAAAAAAACCTTCCTGTCTAACAGAAAGGATTATTGTGACTCAAATTTGAACTCTGTTTTCTAGGTATGTCATGAATGTGACATTTGAAGGTCGAAACCTGTCATTTAGCGAAAAAGGCCACCAGATGTTTCCCAAGCTGGTCATAATACTTCTCGACAAGGACAGGCAATGGGACAGGGTAAATACCTTCTCTTCTTCATTCCACCCTCTGACTTTTTCCCATCTCTGCATTCTGCTCCTTATCTGACGTGTCTCCTACTGCATTCAGCTTTGGAGTGTCTTCCTCTGCCACTTGAAAGCAATGTTTTGCAGTTGGCTGTGCATCACCAGCTCCCCCTCTGCAGGTTGGCAAGTGGGAAAGAGGCTCGTTGACGATGAGGTACCATGTGTGGCCTCGATTTGAGTTGTACTCTGATGTGGAGGAGCGGGAGGACCACCTGTCCATCGTGACTCTTGAAGAGGCGCCTTTTGTCATCGTGGAGGACGTGGATCCACTCAGTGGAACCTGCATGAGGAACACTGTACCGTGTCGCAAACAGCTAAAACTCACGTGAGGGATTTTCATTTTGCTTCTTCAGAAAAATAGGAACCTGTTTTTTATAAAGGCATTTTACTCCTTCGCATCCTTTCATCTTATAACGACTAACTTTAATGTATTTTAAAAGATTTTGTGACCAACACACACTGTTTTTTGTTTATCCTCATTGAGGCAGTACTTTTCAGATTCAACCTTTGCTGCAATTACAGTTACTTGTTTATTATCTCAAATTTTTTCTAATGATTCTTATTTGTAAAATAGCTCAAGCTCAATTGAATTGGATGATGAGCTTCTGATTCACTGCGAAAAAGCAGTTTCCACAGGATGATGCTGCCACCAACATGCATTTTTTACCGTACATTTTTTTAATTTTGCTTCCCTACATGGAATAAAACATTTTTTTATTGTCTTTGATTTAACAATCATTTACAATGTAAATACGAAAAGTAATTGGTTGCTTCTATTTAGGGTGAAATATTCTGCAAAACTCTGTTTTGCGCATAATTTTCAGATTGCTATTATTGAAAAAGCTTTTGAACCCTGTTTTTCTCTTCTGTCAACTTCCAACTATAAGCCTGTCATAAAGAATAATACATTTATCAAGAAGAAATTTTAAACTTCAACTAAATTATCTTTTTAAAGACCTTGTTAGGATCAATATAAGAAAAGTACATTATATTGTCCTAATTTTAAATTACAAACATCAGTAAATGTCATGCAATACAATTAAGAAACACGTTTGATATTACTGAAAGACATAATTGTTTTTTCTTTGAGCCATTTGGTTGTGTTTGTGTGTGTAAATGTGCTCACAATCATTAGAATCGAGGATTGACTCTCAGTAAAATAAGTTGGAATCTATTGACCCAATAAAGTACCTAAAGTGAGTTTTCTTTCCTTTAGTACATTAATTTAGATTTAGAATGGGAATACCCAAGAAGCTAAACAGCTTATAATCAGGGAACCAGAAATGCAAGGAAAAAAACAAATACAGTTAAAAATGGTAAAATACACTTTTACAGAAACAGCCAGAAAAAATCCAGAATCCTCATACCTTCAATCAGTCACACACTTCCACACAATTTGCATTATGTTATGAATTTCTTCACACAAGTGCACATCACATTATGTAGACTCGAGCACATCATTAATCAGAAAACTTCATTATTTAGTCATCACGCATGTTAAACCTTAACATCTAAACATGAATCAGTCATCAGCAATACAAGTGATTTTATTTGTAGTTTAGCAGTAGTTTTTTCTTTAAATACTTTTAAAATATGTTTAAAGATGGTAATTCTTTGATCGAGGTATCAGTGTCATTCCACTTATCTGCTCCCCTACATACCACACTAAAGCTGTTGACCTTCTGTATTCGATTTTTCCCTCTCAATGACATCTTCCCGACTGTTTTATTTTTGTGAGACAGAGAGGAAATTTGAATAAAGTGTTAAAAGCTAAGATTAATTTGATGTACTATATTAAACGTGATACTGTCAAGGCTCAGAACAGAGGATCGAGTATTCAAGGCAGGCAGTCATTCATCTCAAAGGGGTTTATTTAAAAAGGACGGATTGGCAGCTAATGCAGGAACCCCTGCAAGAGGGAAACACAGGTTAGTGGCCACGATAATCTGGCAGAGGAGGATTACGAAAGCGTGACTCACTAACCTGGTCTTAAATCCAGAAGGATGTCAGGAATCAGTTCCAAGTTTTGTTAATAGGCAGAATCCTACTGGAGTCTGAGGACAGGTCAGGCAAACAAATCGGAACAGGGACAGGAAGGCTCAGAGGTCCAGAGGCTGAATGGGCCAGGATCAGGCAATCAGTAACACTAATGTATGCTAGAAAACTCTCACTAATGGCTCGAAAATAATCTGGTACTGATGACTGCTTAGAGGGCTGGTTAAACAGAGACAGGAGTAGGTGGATAAAATGAACAGTAATGAGTTACTGGGCGGAGCTAGGCAGGTGAATGAAATGAGCAATCCAGCCATTCATCAGCACGAAGATCATGTCAGACATGACCGTTGTGTTAACTTCTGCACTCTGAGCTTCAGGAGGTTGAGGCTGTAAAAGAGAGGGTCTGAGGGGGCATTAAAGTAATGACACGCATGACCTTCTGTAGTGTAATGTGACGATATAGATGTGAAGAGTTGACAATGTATGGTTGCTTTTTTGAGTCAATTAGTGCTTGTCAAAAAACCAAAAAAACAGTTCTCATATGTTTTTAAGTGAACATATTTTTTTGGCTTCCCTTCGGTATTTAGTGCTGCTGCAACTTACTAACCTGACTCCGCCAGATGGATTTGCTCCGCATATCCATGTGGAAACCTTCCGTTGAAGTAATTTTGGGAAGGGGCGAAAATACTGGTTAGCTGATTGGCCTATGTTGGTGATAGACCAAATAAACCTGTAAAATTCAGCTATTATAAAAGCGGAACTCACAAAAACTCAAGGGGGCTTTTTCACAGGAAATCAGGCAAAGTATTACAATTTTAAGGAAAAACAAAGATTTATTTAAAATAATAATAATAATAAAAAAATCTATTACCAAGAAATCCAAAGTTTAATTCAATAAATTTCAGTATAAATGATAAATAACCCAAAAAACCTTCACTTCACAACCAATTTATAAGTAAAGTCTCAATTTATATTCCGCAAAAAACAAACAAAAACATCCCTAATAACTGAAAGTCCAAAACTGTCCATCTCTTTTTATTTCAAGTAATAAAGTCCAAACAGGAGTTCCATACGCTCCGAACCCAAAATAGAATCCTGGAACCGTTTAAGTCCAAAGTCCTTTCCAAAACGAAAAATGCAAACGTTAAACCCCCCCCCCAAAAAAGATTAGAAAAAGAGTGGTACCACCAAAAATCCCCAAAAAGAAAAATAAGGTCCAGATCTCACCGGAGCGTCCTTTTTTCCCCCCTGGACGGCGTCTCCTTGCACCGGGCGGCGTCATCTGGGTGCAAACTCCGACAATCAGTTTTCTACATATCTCTGTGGTGATCTGCGACGCTGGGACAAACTCTGTCTGTGGCTCATCTTTCTTCCTTTATTTTTCGATTTCTTTTTAACGGACAACCAGACAAAATCTCCCGCTGCACAGACCTGTCATCGCGCGTCTTCCTCACCTGTCGAGCCGTGCGCGCCGATGCACACGCCCCTTTTTATTCAAAAATGTTTCCTCACCAAAATAACCCAGCATATTAATTCCCATCATCATTTTTTAACCAGTGGAGTTTTGAAATAATATTATCAATGACATGACTGTTCTACGAGACAGTTTGTCATTGGTACACGTTAATGTGCTTTATACAGAAAGGGAAAAATAACATAGTGGTTATACAAACCAATCAGATCAACGAAGCATATGACGTACTAACAGAGCGACGACGAAGACGAGCCAATTGATAGATCAAACTCTTGCCGAAACAAGTCGGGAGAAGAGCAAAAACATCTTTTCCTCTGAGAAAAGCCTCCAGAGCAGTGTTTTGCTCTTCTTTCCGTGAAGAAATACTCTGNGTCTCACGAGGCTAGCAACTTACTATAATCATTCTGCTCCTCCTCTCACTCCTGTGATTACCTTGACTTGTTTCACCTCTGCAAAGTAGAACATTGACTTGGCTTCTGTCCCCCACCCCCTCTGTCATCTTGATCCTCTCCCTTTTCAGCTGTCCTTTGACTGTGATAATGAATTTTCTTTTGTGGTCTCCTTTATCTCTGGCTTTGCTGAAATCTCCCACAGCAGTACTATATCTCCCCACTCTGTGTCTGTTTTACCTTTTATCTCAGATATTTTTCACCCCCAATGCTCTTCTTTTGACCCCCTCCACCACCCATCTCACTCACAGCACATCAGACATAGGCACCAATATGCAGGATTATTGACAGATGTAAATGTGCAGAGCCGCGTGGAGTCGTCTTCAAACGAAGAGCAGCATTCAACTGTTGTAATAAAGCCTCATGTTTTACCACCAAGCTCCATTTCAGGAGGCAGCAACAGGAATAAATACATTTAACACAAAAAAACAAACACTTTTGTCCTTGCTCTGGCAAAAACAGCATCCACTAACTATACCAGCGCTGCTATTGTGGTGTTCCGCAGCTGTTCTGCACCTGTATCTGCTGTGAGCCAACAGCCTATTGACTGATGACGCACGGCTAGGTTAGATGTTTGCCTTCCCTGAGATTTATTCTTAGACTTGCATTACTGTATGATTTGTATAGACGTATTAAGCATATTCACTTGTGTCAGAATAAAATTGGCATCTGATGATTTTGATGATTATTTAGAACAAATGAGGTAGATGATGAAGTGTTTGATAAGCGTCACTCTTTAATTAACTATAAAAGCAGCTGAGTCCTTCATATACAGATTTTAGTTTAGAAAAGTAACAGCTGCATTCTGTCTGTAAAAGCATTCCCACCACCTGAACCCTTCCACATTTTTCATTAATTACAGCCTCAAACTTGTTAGGCTTCTATGTGGTAGATCGAAAAAAGGTGTTATGTAATTGCTAGGTGGACCAATACGTTTAAAAAAATGTTTCAATCAAAAACAAAAAGTCATGTATTTGCACTTCCGCACAATTTACTCAGATACATTCAAATAAATTCACATCACCACTTTTCCTTTAGCAGTCATCTAATTAATAAATGATTAATAAGTAAACTATGGCATAAGAAGTACTGCTTCTTATGTTGTACCAGCCAGGTAAATGTGTGAAAGAAAATCCTCTGGTTAGATTATGGTACAATTGGCATATTTGCAAAGTGTTGCACATAAGTCTAAAAAGACTATGCCTATAGAGAAACATGGTGGTGGCAGTGTCATGCTATAGGGACTGGTCAGAGTTAAAAGAAAGGTAGGTGGAGTTAGATTCTGGGAAGTCCTCGAACAAGTCATGTCGGTCACAAGTCTAGGAATGAGCTGAATGCAACTAAGGATCTGTGACTCAGCTTTAGAGGTGATTACAACTGAATTTCCCAACCAGTCTGACTCACCTGTAACATTTTTTTTAAAGGGGCTATATTGGTTTGTTTCTGGATGTGCAAAGCTTGTAGAGATGCTACTAAAAATCGTCAATCCCAGTAAAAGGTGGTTGTACAAAGTATTAACTTGTGGAAATTAATAGGAATTCTTTTTGAAAACTACATTTTAAACAATAAATAATTTTTTCCACTTCATAGTTAAACACTATTGCATAAAAAAAAGTTTATCACTGCATCAATCCTGTTTAGGTTTCATGCAATTTCTAGATTACAAGAATTAAACAAAAAATCCTGACTTCCCTCTTTTTTAGTGTTGCCTTAATAAAAACTGACCTCCCATCTCTGCTTTTCTCTGCATTCCTCCTGGAACCAAACTGCAGCAATCACACAGGCGATTCAGGAATTTACATCAAGCGCTGCTGCAAAGGTTTCTGTATCGACATCCTGAAAAAGATTGCAAAAACTGTCAAGTTCACTTATGACCTGTATCTGGTGACCAACGGCAAACACGGAAAGAAGGTTAACGGGACCTGGAACGGCATGGTTGGAGAGGTAAGGACAGTTTTAACAAACCACAGAAAGTTTGTGTGTAAAATCTTAAAGGTAATATGGAGAAGAAAGGAGGCGTGTGTTGCAATGACAAGTTTATCCCCCCCGTTGGAGAAAAGTACCAGCTTCGCATCGCCTTTAAGCAGCTTGAAAATACCCAGAGTGACAGTTCAGGCAGACCTGCTGGCACACCAGCTGATTTTGGATTTCACAGCTGGCAGAGCACTGCAGCACACAGGAGATGTTACCATACAAATATTACCGAGCCACCCGAGTGACGCAACCAGCCAATGCACCAAAAAAACAACAAATGCGTTGTACGTTTAAACCTGCACATTCATTCCAGCTGCAAGATTGTTCATGTAATCTGCAACACATGCCACGTAACTCGAAATGCATGGAAGGCTTTCTCAGTTGGAGCAGTTTACCATATGCTGGTGTGCAGCGAGCAATAAGCTGTTGTTCCAGGTGTAGCTTTTTAATTTAGCCTCAAGCAGATGTCAGCGAGAAACAGCACAGATGTGGAAGGACTCTTTCTGTGACAGGAATGCACGTGTATTACTGTGGCAGTGGGTAGCAGGCACATCACATACAGCTGCATTGACTTTTTTTTTATTCAGTCTGTCAAAGAAAATCTTGATCTTTGCTTCATTTTCTTCTGCATTTTTCTTCCTATGTTCCGAACATGCTTTTAAAGCCGTTTAAAGCCAGCCACCCTGAAACGTCTGACGGTAAAAAAAATCCTCTCCAGACGCTTCAGCAGCCAGCCAACCGACAGAAAAGTATTTTTTATTCGCTATGGCTAACGATGCTGTCCAAGTATCTCTGTCTGTTAGTTCACCGCTGTCTCCATCAGCACATCTAGAACTTGTTTCCCACAGCCCGGCCTGAGGGGAAGCTTGTGATCAAATCCTGCAAACCCTAAGGAGGACTCAATGAGGGTTCCTAATCAGAGACAGAACAGGAATACAAAGGACGTGGATTGGAGTGAAAGGGGGAGAAAGCAGCCTCGGGCGAAGGCCCGCTCCACTGCTGCACACATTAAGCAGCCGGCAGAGCTCAGCCGCCCTGCATAAACGTGCAAGCTGACTTAAATGATTGTGTCACATCTTAAAGTCTTTAGCTGATGAGGCATATGCTTAGATGACTTAACGCTGTGCATGTTTTAAAGCTGAAATGGTAGGTAAAGGATTTTTATTTGGACAGGGTAAAATAGAAAACAGACTCAGAAAACAGTAGGAAGTTGAAAAAGCAAGCCTCAAGGTGTGAATGTGATGGAGCAACATCAGTGTGCAAGATTATTATTCTCTCTAGCATGTAGGGATTTTAATAACACAGTCGTTTGTGCTTTCTTTTTTATTCATGGCCAGGGGCTCCGGAAACATTGAGCTAAATATACCTGAACACACTTAGAGAGGATGCTGGTAGACATTATTCCCTTTGCTTCTCTCTTCTAATGTGGAAAACCTGGAAATCACCTAATTGAGCTTGTTTTATGTTTTATCCGTTTCTCTGAATGAGCCCCTGTCTTACTGACCCTCAGGTGGTGGCAAAGAACGCTCACATGGCTGTGGGATCACTCACCATCAACGAAGAGAGGTCAGAGGTCATCGACTTCTCCGTGCCGTTCATTGAGACGGGTATCAGTGTCATGGTCTCCCGCAGCAATGGCACCGTTTCCCCCTCTGCCTTTCTAGGTGAGGAGAACCACGTCGCAGTTTAAAACCCTTGTATGTTTTACCACTTAGTGATTTGCAATGAAAATGACAATAAAAGCAAATTTTAGAAACAATAAATGTTCCTGTGAAGAGAAACATGCATTTCAAACTCGTAGGCTTCAATCTGCTCAACACCTCCAGTAGACTGTCTTCTTCTGTTCAAACAATTTTATTATGTTACAAAAATAGCTAAGATTGTTTCTCAGCTGTTTGGTTGACTCGGATTTCATCATTGGTGCTAAAACTGAGCAGCAGTAAAGGATGTGTGAGCTTAAAAGAAACATTTTCTTGACTTCCAGCAGTATGACAGTTGTTTCATGGGGTGTATTTTATCAACTTTACACTGTTTGATGTTTTACTTTTATTCAGTTACACCACTTCCCATGCTTGTGTTTTTTTTTATTTAGAAAACAATTATTTTCTTTTTCCACTTAAATCTTATTCCTTTGCTGTTTTAGACATCATGTCATTTAGATTTTAGTAGGGCCATTTGTAGCTCCCATCATCATTTTTGGGAGGCCCCTAACCAGAATTCAAGAATGCAGTGGCAGGAAGTGCATCTGGTACCTCGGCCTTTCAGTGGGCACTCCTCTGGCTTAGTCTACTTCTTAATACCACAGCTTTCACATTTCAACATTTTGCTATAACTGACCCATCAGAGGACAAAATGCAGAGATTAAGGTGGGCCCACTAGCTAGCCCTGTGGGGCAAATTTAAAATCTAAAATCTAAATCCTTCCAGGGGGGAGAAGGTCCAAAACATCCATTTTACAGGACTTCCCAAAACTGGCAAACACTCTGGCGTCGAGGTAGTGGCAGTCAGCAGCTTAAGAGTCCTCCGTTAACAAGGTAACCATCCGCAGGTGTGTGAGGAGGCAAACCAGAACAAGGCGCCGCCTGGTGGTGGAGGGTAGACAAACAAAAGCACAACCCACACAAACTGGATTCCTAACAGCTAATGTTTCTAAGTTTTCTTCAGCCATTGCTACTGATTCTGATTCTGTTGACATGGCAACACAGAGAGGCAGTAATCTGGTTGCACCAAAAAATCTAGCAACTATATATGTAATGGAAGCAGCGCAGCCAAGAGAAAAATCCCAAAACTAAGAGAATTGATTTTTGGGAATACATTTATACAGTTGCATAGAAAAAATACTTTAGGTCGTAAATTTAGGTCAGTTCTTCTGATGGATTTTAGGTCAGCAGAACATCCCCTGATTGCCCACCAGTGCAAGAAGACATAAACATGGTTTGGCAGCCCAGGCTGCTAATTCAGGTGCATGTTTATGAAATGTTAGGTCACAGCTTTTACAGACGAGAAAAAAAAAATAGTGCCAATTAAAAACTTATGAAGGTTCAACACAAATATTTTTGCTTTCCTATTTGATGTAATTCAAAAGAGGATTGCACATTTTCGATGACTTTCACTGAAAATCAGACTTCTGAACAGGAACTGGTTTTCGATTCCCATCCCTAAGTGAGTCATATCCATTTACTGTTTTGCTGCTTCCAATACAATCACAAGATTTTAAACGGAAAATTTTAGGCCTTCATGTGCTATTTTTTGTTTTTATTGTTTTCTTGAAAGACAATAATGTATCTACAATGACTTACTGATTGGTTTTCTATGGCAATCAGAATGTTTTTCATCTGTCATTAACATATTGCAAGCTTAGTTTACAGTTAAGTAGATACATCTAAAGAATAAATTTATACAAAAAATATTTTGCAATTTTAATAAAAAAAAATCCTAATCTTGAGTACTTTCAACTGGACATGTTATATGGTAAAATATTTTGGACACCACTGCTGGAAAACATCTGGGTCTTACTCCTGTTCTTTCTCTGATCTAAAAATGTTAAAAACTCTGAAAAGCCTCTTGCATAGTATTTGGTCCTAGAGGGCAGGAGGTACTGTAGCTTGTTCGGACTGTGAAACACAGAGCTGGAAGGGTAAAAATATGGGCTTCTATAAATGCAAATTGATTTGCAAGCATTTACCCAAAAATACCTGGGGATCATAATAATAACATTCATCAGCAATTTCACTTTTAAAAAACACTTTCCCAATAAATAACAAACTGCTAAATAAGAAAACAATAGCAAAACTAAACCATGGAGTGCCTTTAGATAAAAAAAAAGAATAAGGAAATAATCTTAAGATGTTTTAAATTTAAATAGTACAAAATTATAAAAATGATATAATCTTTGTTCAAGAGTCAATTAAAGTGAGAAAGATGTAAAAGTCTAGCTTGCAATTAATTAAAATTTGTATTTGTAAAATTTGTAACAAATACCTTTCTGTTGAGCTCTTAACTGAGACTTTTATAAATATTTAGACCTTTCAAACCTTTCTCTGTTGTGATGGAAATCATCCATATAATAAAGTGTAACGCCGCAGAGTAGTTGTCAAAGTGTATTAACCTAACAGCTTTGTTTGCATTGTAAAGTCACTGAGCTGAATGTAAAGCAACCAGAAAACTGACGTACTTCCTTAAATACATGTTTTATATTCACACCTAAATCCCTCTCTTGTAGTCCTGCTTGTTCTTGTTTACATTTTCTTAAACGTGACCAGAGCAGAGTCTGAATACCAAAATAATACTGCTGTTGGAACCAGAGGGTTTGAAGATGTTTTAACATGCTCCCCATGTTTTTACCCCAATGCCTATTCTCCTCCTCCTTCAGAGCCCTTCAGCGCTGATGTCTGGGTCATGATGTTTGTGATGCTGCTGATCGTGTCGGCCGTGGCCGTCTTTGTGTTCGAGTACTTCAGCCCTGTGGGTTACAATCGCTGTCTGGCAGATGGACGAGGTGAGAGGACACACACACATTCAGAAACACACAGCCGCACGTCTGAGACTGTTTAATACATCTTGCAAAAAGGTGGCAATGAGTTACAATGTCAAGCAATCTAATGTGCTAAAATGAAAATGGAGCCAGCTTCTTTTTTTTTCTTTTTCTCCTTGAATGCACCATTCAGGAAGAGAACTTCAGGTGCTAAATTACTTTGACAATCTTGTCTGAATGAGAGCCACTGGAGTGCTGGGAGTTTCTGCGTGATGTCTTTGAGTGCTTATCTACATTGACAGTCACTTAAGCTCTTTCACTTATGAAGGGGATCATTGACGAGAGCCAGATAGGTGAGCTTAAGTATTCTTAGCCTCGCTGTGCGAACTAGAAATCACCTGTTCTGACATTAGAATGTCTATTTTATTATGCTGATCATTTGCATTACACCAGTGTTACACCACTGGATGGATTTAATTGACTTAATGGCAATGGACATGGAATGGACCATTCTGTGAAAATATGAGTCAATTTATTCGTCTACAAGAAAAATGTCCATTGGATCAAAGGTTTTTTTTAGCAGGTAGTTAGATTATATTTGCTGTTCAGATTACTGGTTTAGATACAAAGCATTTTCCAGGAAACCATCCATCCATCCATCCATCCATCCATCCATCCATCCATCCATCCATCCATCCATCCATCCATCCATCCATCCATCCATCCATCCATCCATCCA